TCAAAAATAAATTGCAAAACGAACTTATCTCCAATAAAAAACAGAATTTACAATTTCAAAAAAAAAGGGGAGAAATGAGAAAGGGAAACCATAAAAACAGCCCATAAGAAAAAGAATTCAGTTGTCATTTCTATGGAATAGTCGAGCTATTATCTCGCACGCAACACAAACTCGGTGGTTGTGACCAATCGTAAACATACGATGCACGCACACGAAATTCTCGCTCACACAAATGACCCGTATTCACCATTGACGCGTACAGATTCTGAAATAAACACCCAAATACTCCGATCAGAAATNAAATCGAAAAAATGGTTGAAATTCTCTTTGAAGACAAGCTGACGGAAAAATTCCCCAACATGTCGAGTATTCCAAACGAAAAGAAAACAGATACTACCTCAAGAGCTCGAGGCGTTTGTTTGTGTGTAATAATGTACTGATTACTGCAACCTCTCGAACGAAATTCCGTATCAAACCGTGGATCATGTATATATTTCACATCCAATCCAGCCAACCACGCACCTACCGAGACATCTTCATTCCTCAACAAAAACATTCATAAAATTTGAGAAATCCATCAAAATTGGATTGCATTTCCCCTAATTTATTACGCGAAAAGCCCATTTGAACTTTGCTGAATACTTACTGAAATCTGACTAACTGAACGCACGACAAATCCAAAGAATATATCTGATGGTATATCTAATTCAATACAGTAAAGGAGAAATTATACAAATGATAATTTATACAAACTTAAAACGAATATCTAATTACTCAAATTATACTAATTATACAAACGAAAGAATATTCGATAATACAATAAAGGAGAAATTCAAAATAATGATAAAAACTCCTAAAATTTTATCAAAGAATGCACCAAAATTCATAAAAAGTTCTCTCACTTACCGATACATTTTCAGCAAATTTTTATTTGTCGAAATGAAATTCGCCAATTGATACGATAGAACATATCCTCCGCCAAGCTAAAATCATACCAAAACCATTGACATTCCAATCGGTATTATTCCAATTCAAAAATTACTATTTACTGTCCAAAGTTACTGAAGTTGAAAAAATTTCTAAAAGATTCTATGAAAAAAAAA